AGTATATGTAGTAGTATATTATGATTTGGCACTATACMAATAAAATTGATTTGAATGATATATTACTTGAATATACTGCTATATTTATAACATTCAGACTTTCTGTGCCTTCTGATATCAGATTGCTTCTCTTTCATTTTTGTTACAGTTCAGACGAGTTTCACCATGTTTGACATTTTCATGGTTCAGTGAACTAGTGAACTGAGGTGAGTTTCATTTGTAGAAGATATTTTTTAGTTATTGTCTCTTGGCACGTGCCCCAATGTTGCCAGAGGAGGCGCTGTCTTCTCACAGGCTACAGCAGCATTCACATGAGAACCTATGAGACGAGTGTTCCTCTAAAACACAAATGAACAGCAGAAGATYTAATAACTGTGTTGATATTTGAAACAGGATTCACCTCATGATGGATCTATGGGSTCCGGCTCCACACGGAAGCACCGACTGACAAACTTTAGAATTGTGATCGCAGTCTTGCAACAATTGCTGACATTATTTTCAACATTTACTAATTATGGGACTTATGGGTTAACAAGGGCTTTTTCTTTCACTGTTGTACATTTTTAATCCAAGTTATAATGTCATCATTTGTCCTGTTGAAAATAGGGCTGGCTTTGGTTTGTTTTGTTTTATTATTATTGATCATGTTCAGAAATCAGATCATCACATCATTTTATTTCTCATGGGGTGAGCCACACATGATGGCTCACCCCACGAATAACTCTTTTACACTTTTTTACTTACGCATTACATTACGCTTACAATCTTCCTCCAGTTCCCCCATGATGTGTTTTCACATCGTCAGTACAGCCAATAATTAAGTACAGACAGATAAACTCAACACTTTTAACGTCTTCATGGACAGAGTGATGGCASCARTCACACGTTGTTGATCTGCTTAACTTTTACACATGTTCTACTTTATACACAGATTATACTGCGACTTAATAGATCTAAAATGTAATATCATTTTAACAGATGCCCTTAAATGCTTTAATGCTGCTTCATTTGCAATTTTACAATATTTGTTTTATGAGAGGATTTTTATTTCTTTGCTCTGTCTGAGAATTCGTCTTATTTCTATTATCATTGGCAATAAAACTAACAAGATGATTATATATGAAACATGACCTGTCACTATCACTTTGAAGAACTAACTGAGACATTCATGTTTAAATCAACTGATCAGCACATCACCAGGACGGAGATACCATCCATGTCTACACCCAGCGTTGTAGGAAGAAGGCTTACAGTATACTGAAAGACCCCCATCACCCCAGCAACAAACTGTTCTCTCTGCTGCCGTCTGGCAGACGGTACCGCAGCATCCGGACCAAGACCACAAGACTCAGGGACAGTTTTATCCCACAGGCTGTAAGACTGCTGAACTCCTGAGCTCTKTGAAGGTCACTACATCTGTTTAAAACAACATATTTATTTACACATTATATTATTCATAAGCAAAATTGATATTTATTTATTTAGTTTACAATMATTTTCATTCTGTCATTATCATTTCTATTCATCATATTTCCTACCAATATAAAAATATAATGAGTGCAATAATTCATATCTGTCCATTCCTCCCCATAACTGCTGCTAAATCCTGACATGTATATATCTCATTTTAGAACCTTATAATGTTTTATGTTATATGTATTTATGTTATTTGTATTTTTAGTTACTCTTATTTTATGACACTTGCATGTTGAGTTGCCTGGGATTTAAGATTTTCATTGCCAACATGTACGCTGTATCTGTTGTGCAGATGACAAATAAAACCTTTGAAACCTTTGATCACACTCCAGTCCACAAGGTGGCGATAATGCACAGGGAACGACTCCTGGTTTACATAAACACTACGAGAAGAAGATGTCAACTTACGTCACAGTTACGTAGATTGCACGAGGAAGTGGATTGTAAACACTGCATGGAGACTCGATCGTGAAACAACCACGCTGTGCGAAACCTCCGCTAACATCTACGTGCTAATATTTACGCGGTGGACGCTGGAGCGAGCCGTGGAGGAGACATGTGCGCCGGTTTCCACACTCCCGTTTACTCCCACGCTGGACGGGGACACTTCCAGGACGTGTACGAGCCCGCGGAGGACTCGTTCCTTCTCATGGACGCGCTGGAGAAAGACGCGCAGCGGCTGCACGACATCAGGTCAGACGCACGTTTCCCTGCGACTCACCCGGAAATGACCCCTGACCCTCACACCAGGCGTCTCTCTCTCCGCTGTCTGCAGCCCGGCTGTGTGCGTGGAGGTCGGCAGCGGCTCCGGAGCGGTGTCTGCGTTCCTGGCGTCTGTGGTCGGACCTTCAGCTTTGTACATGTGAGCCACTCATCGCACTTACAGTGGAATACGCTCGTGCATTGGCACCGTCTCATCCTCAGTGTGTCTCTCTCCCAGGTGCACTGATGTGAACCCTGCAGCGGCGCAGTGCACAGAGAGGACGGCCTCCTGCAACAGTGTTTCACTACAACCTGTCATCACAGACCTGGTGAGACTTGTACACGCACATGTAAAGATTTTCAACGACCCCTCCATGCATATTCAAATGTTGTCCTTCCTTTAGGTGGAGTGTCTTCTTCCCCGGCTCAGTGGAAAAGTGGATGTCCTCCTCTTCAATCCTCCCTACGTGGTGACGCCGTCAGAAGAGGTGATTCTCCTCAGYCCRGCAGATTCTCTACAGGGGGGGAACACCTGGAGCGTTTTAACTGTGGAAGGTTTCCTTGTGTCCTCTTCAGGTTGGGACCAGAGGTATAGAGGCCGCCTGGGCAGGTGGACAGCGAGGACGAGAAGTGACGGACAGGTTCCTCCCCTCGGTGGCACAGCTGCTGTCCTCTACGGGGTTGTTTTACCTCATCGCCGTCCTTGAGAATGATCCAGGTGAGTTTTTAACGTCTGAAGCCATTTCCATTGCGATTAAGAGGTTTCTCGACACGTCTCCCTCTTTCTCAACAGAGGACATCATCCGCTTCCTGGGGAAACGTGGCTTGGAGGGACAGTCGTGCTTGTCCACAAGAGCTGGAAACGAGAGACTGTCCGTGCTTCGCTTCCACAGGAGACAAACGTGAGCTGACTCCAGTGAAAGGAAGAATCTTGAGCTAACACAGGACGAGTCTTGGATTTTACAAGAACTAATTTTCCAGTTTCAGACTGAGGGGGGGGGGGGCTTCTGCTGACATGAAAACTGTATGCAACACTGCAACAGAGACATTTTATTAATGATGGACAAGAGGTCATTAAGCCAATGCAAGCAGCACAAGTCACACCAAGCTCATTCCATTGCAGACAAAATTCAAACTGTAACATTTAGCATCGGAATGTATTAGTCATTTCAAGTAAGATGCTTCTTTAAAGTGGAATTTCTACATTAATCTACCAATATCAACTCAACTGGATTTGACAATAGGAAGCAAGAGACAAGAGAGAGAGCAAAAGACAATACTGTGTAAACTTGTTTTCTATTTCTGACTTGTTTTTACAATAAAGTGTAATTTTTACGTAACAGAAGCAAATGTTTAATTGTTTTAATGACAGGAATGTATAAAGTTGATTGTGACGTCTGGTCTTTAACTCTGTGGGATCGTCTTCCACACGCTGTGGCCGTCCTCGCTGAGAGTGACGGCACCGATGGCCACCAGCTCCATGGCGGCGGGGACGGCCTCCCTGATTCTGTCGCACAGACTCTCCTCGGTGTCGCAGCTCATCACGGGCACCGCCTCCTGCACGATGATGGCTCCTGCATCCACCTCTTCCTGACAAGACAACATCTGTTTCACGTCTTCCAACACACACTCAAAAACAACTTGTCCCATATTACTTTTCTTTAATACTTGCTACCACAAAGTGAACTGTACAGCCAGTCACCCGCATGTATAAAAGAGAAGTCAAAAAGAAACAAGAAAGGAAGAATATATTAGAACATTAAACAGTTAAAGCGTGACACATCTCTATAATCTGAACATTAATAAACTCAGACAGTCACAGCGACCTRCAGAGTCAACCCACGTGTGACTGATGGCCGACTCACCGGCAGCCATGTGTTTGTCCACGCTAAGTAAAATCTCCCAGGCGGTGGGCTGGATGTCTCCG